AGTCTTGGACGAAATTTTGTGGCCTTGAAAACTGTGCCGAGTCTGCTATTTATAGACATCAAAAAGTTGCCAAAATGGCTTGTTCCAAAATCGGAATGGCCCATTCTGGATCTGACCGTTCTATGTTAATTTCGTAACTGGAACGACCCGTTCTTAAACTACAATGGCCCGTTCCAGAGAAGATTTTAACACATGACTGACTAGGCTGGAACGACCGTTCCAAATAAGGGTTTTTAGAGTTTTTTAATAACTTAGAACGACCCATTCTAGTTTAGGAATGACCCGTTCCAATTTAGGTTTTAGCCCTTTTTTAGGAGCTTGGAATGACCCATTCTAGTTTAGGAACGACTCGTTCCAGTTACAGGAACGACCCATTCCGGGCTACTAAGACCAGCTTATTTAAGCTTTAGGCTTTCTGATATCATGTCTTGTTGTTTCCATGCTTCGGAAGCTCCTTTCCTTGATAATAGACGTCCATTTTGTTACTTTTGTTGGTTTGGACGAAATTGGGTGTCTACAGCTGCCCTTCTTTACTTGTCCTTTGGAATAGCTATGTGTTGCTTTTCCAAAGGCGAGTAAAGAAGTATACATTTCTTTAGGGTCTTCTCTTCGTCTCTTTGGTGCTGGCACTTCTGCGTTGTTTCCCTTGGATAGGTGTATTTGCTCGTATCCTCACCCTTTAGAGCAGTTGAGTGTTGGTTGCGTACTCTATTGGGTAACAAGGTTGACAAACTATAAATCTGATATTCAATCTTCGAGTAGAAGCTCCATTGTTTCTCTTGTGATAATGTGTTCCTTTATTTGTAGCTTGTTGAGGAGGGAGTATTTTTGTAGCTCAACCTCTCCAGGCTGGACTGATATTTTAAGGCTTCAGCCGGCCCAATGCTAGTTCTAAGGTCTAGCAACCCTCTTTGTTGTTGTAATATTTTCTTAGCTCAGCCTCTCCAGGATGGACTGATATTTTAAGGCTTCAGCCGATCCTTGCTAGTTCTAAGGTCTGGTAACCCTTTTTGTTGTTGTAGTATTTTCATAGCTCAGCCTCTCTAGGCTGGACTGATATTTTAAGGCTTCAGCCGGCCCATGCTAGTTCTAAGGTCTGGTAACCCTCTTTGTTGTTTTAGTATTTTTGTAGCTTAGTCTCTCCAGGTTGGACTGATATTTTAAGGCTTCAGCCGGCCCATGCTAGTTCTAAGGTCTGGTAACCCTCTTTGTCGTTGTAGTATTTTCATAGCTCAGCCTCTCCAGGCTGGACTGATATTTTAAGGCTTCAGCCGAACCATCTAGTTCTAAGGTCTGGTAACCCTCTTTATTGTTGTAGTATTTTCGTAGCTCAGCCTCTCTAGGCTAGACTGATATTTTAAGGCTTCAGCTGACCCATGCTAGTTCTAAGGTCTGGTAACCCTCTTTATTATTGTAGTATTTTCGTAGCTCAGCCTCTCCAGGCTGGACTGATATTTTAAGGTTTCAGCCGACCCATGCTAGTTCTAAGGTTTGGTAACCCTCTTTGTTGTTATAGTATTTTTGTAGCTCAGCCTCTTCAAGCTGGACTGATATTTTAAGGCTTCAACCGACCCATGCTAGTTCTAAGGTCTGGTAACCCTCTTAGTGTTAGAAAAGAATGGCACAATCCAAGAGGGGGGGGTGAATTCGATTCAATGACCCTTTAAAAATTTATCAGAGTATTTTGGATCTTAATTTCAATCAAAACTTTTCTATGACAGAATTTCCAAATGAAGTTCTTCTAAAGACTTGTTATGAAAATATGAATGCAATATGCTCACTTGATTACAACATAATGAGGTTCAAAAATAATGTTCAATTACAGATTTAAACCATCAAGATTCACATACACTTGTTAATCAAGTTTTATCTTCTTTAAAGTTCCACCAAGAAATTACACAATGTAAAAGATAAGGTAGAAGAAGATTGCACAAGTCTTTTATACTGGTTCAGCCACTCCACATGTGACCTACATCCAGTCCTTAATCAACACCTGATTAAGATTTGTTCCACTATCTTTAAGCAAGAAGGTTTACAAGCACACACACATGCATATACTTCAACACTAAAAGATAACCACTTTCTTGACCCCAAGAAAGCACCCCTTGTAGAACCCACTACAAGAAACCTTACCACTTGAGAAACCCTTCTCAAGATTTTCCACAAAGATTCACAAAGAATAAAAGGAACGAATTCACCTGGAATTCTTGAACAAATCTTTATCTTCCCCTTTCAAGATTATGATGATGATGATCTTCTACCAAAGCTTTTCACAAACGTTTTCACTCTTGGATTTCACAAAGAAAACTCTCCAAGATGTCACAAAGACTCACAAAAACGTTTTTCACAAATTGATTATCAGTTCTAACTCTTGTCTGAAGTTTCTCAAAGTTCAAACTATTTATAAAAGTTTCAGACACAGATAATCGATTATTTTAAAGAATAATCGATTATTTTGTTCTTCAGATTTTCTGGAAATCAACCAAGAACAATATAATCGATTATTTAGCTGGATAATCGATTATTCCAGAGAGTTGTTCCTGGGATAATCGATTATTTTGGCAAATAATCGATTATTACAGCAAGGCATTCCACTTAGCCTATTTGCTGAAATAATCGATTATATTTAACAATAATCGATTATTTTGAGTTAGTTCTTAAAACTTCATTTTAAGACTCAAAATAACTTTCCAATGTTTTTAACTCATCATCATATACTCTCTACTTGGTTTAGATAAGATTTGATTATGCACAAAGTATACTAAGCACACAAAATATAAAAACACATTCAAAACAATTTATTTCCTAAGCTCTATTACATAGCTCCATTTCATAGCATTTTCTTGACTCTTCTTTGCCTTTGTTTTTGTGCTCCAAGTTGTTGTTGTATACTTGTTGTGATCATCAAAACTCCTTGAAGATTCAAGCTCTCCTAAGCTCAACACTTAGTTGTTCTTGAGGATTCTGACGGTGTCTCCTCGTTGGTGTTGTGGGATGAAAGACTGCCCCTAGGTGGATGGGCAGGAGATGTTTGATGTGCCCTTGTGTTGGTGGTAGAGAAATGGATGGTTTGCAGGGATTTTGATGTTCCCCCTGCGACAATGAGTATTGTGATGCCTCTCCAGGTGCATGCTTGTGGTAGGTTTTTTTTTAATTTTATTTCTTTGTTTAGCTTCGGCTTTTTCATATTTGAAGCTTGCCTTTTTTTTCTATTTTTATAAATGCTTCGACTTTTTCAACATGTACGAAGCTTGCCTTTTTCTGTCTATGGCTGGTCATTGTAAGGGACTTGCTTGACCTTATATGATCTCTGTTGTGAAGGGAGAATTTTTCCCCTTCACACGTGGCTCCCTTCTTGATTGCTTTCTTTAGGGATTTTATTCGTAATGCATGCATGGATTGAAAATGCTTGTAGCCTACTGCCCTTTTGGATAATTCCCTTTGGATGTGAAAAGTTATTTATTTTAAGTGCACGCTTTTCTGGATGCCATACATACACGTTTAAGCTTTTTTAGAAATCTATTGGTATCAGGTGGCTTCCCTTTACCCCTTTAGTCCTTTTTTTTACTGAAGATTCGCACATGACTTTTGCTTACTTTAGGGGCCCGTATAGGATTGCCTCGTTTATTTAATTGCTTTTTACTGGGTTGTTTCGATTTTTCCTTTTAATACCAAAACACGTCATTTAAAGATAAAGGTTGAAAGAACTGAGAAGAATGGTATTTTATTGTAAATCAGAAAATTTCAATGAGGGTTACAAAATGAGTTTTGGAAGAGAAAAGCTGGCTGAGGTTGGCTAGTGTCTGGGCTTGAGTGATCATGACTTTAAGAAACGAAGCTTAGCATCCTTCTAGTCGTCTGATCAGCACTGAGTCAAGTAATTACTTGACTTCTACAAAGGGTTGATAGGGTTTTTAGGTCGTCCATTCGCCTTGCTTTAACGCCTTTTTTTGCGCTTAAGTAAAGATTTAATTGGTCGAATCTGGTTCGAACCCATTCAGTTTCTGAGAGCTTTGCCTCCATGAGTAATCTCAAAGAAGGAATTTCCACTTCAACTAGTAGGATTGCCTCCATCCCGTATACTAAGGAGAAAGGTGTGGCCCCCGTCGATGTGCAAAAGGATGTTCTATACCCATGCAATGCGTAAGGTAGCATCTCATGCCAATCTTTGTATGTGACAACCATTTTTTGAATGATCTTCTTGATATTCTTGTTGGCTGCCTCAACTATCGTATTCATTTTTGGCCTATAAGGGGAGGAGTTATGATGTTGAATCTTGAAAGAGTCACATAATTCAGTCATCATCCTGTTGTTGAGGTTGGACCCATTGCCCGTTATAATTTTGTCAGGTATTCCATAATGACATATTATGTTTTTCCTGACGAAATTGACTACTACTTTACAGGTTACATTTGCATATGACATGGCTTCAACCCATTTGGTGAAGTAATCAACGGCCACAAGAATGAATCTATGTCCATTTGAGGCTTTGGGTTCAATGGGTCTAATGACGTCCATGCACCACATCGAGAAAGGCTAGGGCGAGGCCATTACTTTGAGCTCACTTGGTGGGACTTGGATATTATTAGTGTATATCTGGCATTTGTGGCACTTCCTGGCATACGAGATGTAATCCTTCTCCATAGTGTACCAAAAGTATCTTGCCCCTCATGATCTTTCTAGCCATGACCTGTCCAGTTATATGGGTACCGAATGTTCCTTCGCGAACTTTCTTCATTAACGATCGAGACTCCTTCTGACCAATACATCTTAATAGGGTGGAATCAAAACTCTTATTGTACAGAATATTCTCATGTAGTACGAATTTGATAGCCCTTTGTCTGATTGTTTTCTTGTCATTGTCAAATTCCCCGACTGGGTATTTCCTTTCTTTGATGTATTGATAGATGTCGAAATACCAGGGGTGGCCATCCTCCTTTTCCTCTAGTGTACAACAGTGAGCTTGTGTCTCATGTCTTCTAATTCTGATGACCAATATTTCACATCCCTTTTTTTATAGCAAACATAGATGAGAATGTGGGCAGAGCATCTGCTAATTGATTCCCCTTTCTCGGGGTATGCTCGAAGTTAATGGATTCAAATTGGGACACCAGATCCTGAACATATGCTCGATAATGGATTAATTTATGGTCCTTCGTTTCCCATTCATCTCGTATTTGGTATATCCTCAAAGCCGAGTCGTCATAGACTTCTAGTTTGGTGACTTTGTTATCAAGCGTAGCCTGTAGACCCAATATACAAGCTTCGTATTCAGACATGTTGTTGGTGCATTCAAAGTACAACCTTGCCGTCACTGGGATATGTTTTCCTTGGGACGACATCAATATGGCTCTTATTCCATGCCCCATTATATTGGAGGGCCCGTCAAAGAACATCGACCAAGATTCATTTTGACTTTGCTTTTTTGGCTCATCCTTCAAGGTCAATATTTCTTCATCGAGGAATTCTTCCTTGACCATGTGTTCATCCTTGGTTGGTCCGCTTGCTAAGTGGTCGTCCAGAACACTGCCTTTGATTGCCTTTTGCGAGACATATACAATATCATATTCCGATAGCAAAATCTGTCATCTGGCAATCCTCCCAACCAGAACAAACTTTTCAAGTAGGTACTTGATAGGATCTATTTTGGATATTAACTGGGTGATATGTCTCAACATGTACTGTCTTAGCCGCTGGGTGGCCCATACCAAGGCACAACATGTTTTCTCCAAGGGTGAATATCGAGCATCATAATCAGTAAACTTCTTGCTCAAGTAATAGATAGCTCTTTCTTGATTACTAGTCTCGTTTAACTGTCCCAGCATACATCCCATGGAATCTTCCAAAATCATGAGGTATAGAATGAGAGGTTTTCCTTCAATAGGAGGCATCAACATTGGTGGATTGATGAGACATTGCTTAATCTTATTGAAAGTGATTTGGCATTCGTCATTCCATTCCACGGGTTCATTCTTTCGGAGTAGCTTGAAGATGGGAGCGCATGTGTCAGTCAACTGAGATATGAAACGAGATATATAATTCACCCTACCAAGAAATCCCCTGACCTCTTTTTCTGTCTTAGGGGGCGACATTTCTATTTTGGCTCTGGCTTTGTCTGGATCCACTTCTATCCCCTTTTCATTGACAATAAACCCAAGGAGTTTTCCTGATCAGACTTTGAAAGTACATTTAGTAGGGTTTAGCTTTAATTTGTACTTACGGAGCCGATTGAATAGTTTTCTTAGATGGCTAAGATGATCATTTTCAGCTTTCGACTTAGAAATCATGTCATCTACATACACTTTTACCTCCTTGTGGATCATGTCATGAAATAGGATTATCATTGCTCTCTGATAGGTTGCCCCTACGTTTCTCAAACCGATAGGCATCACCTGGTAACAAAAGGTGCCCCAAGGAGTGATGAAAGAAGTCTTCTCATGATCCTCGATGGCCATCTTGATCTGGTTATATCCCGAATACCCATCCATAAATGAGAAAATAGTGTTTGTAGACGTGTTATCTACGAGAACGTCAATGTGTGGTAGTGGGAAGTCGTCTTTAGGACTGGCTCGATTTAGATCTCGATAGTCCACACAAACTTGCACCTTCCCGTTCTTCTTTAGCACGGACACTATGTTCGCGAGCCATTCAGGATATTGGGATACGACCGAAAACCTAGCCTCTAGTTTTTTTTGGACTTCTTCCTTTATTTTGAGGGACCACTCGAGTTTGATCCTTCGAAGCTTCTGCTTTACCGAAGGAATCCTGTCTTTTATGGGCAACTTGTGTTCAACGATTTCTCGGTCTAATCCCGGCATGTCGTGGTAAGACCAAGCAAAGACATCGATGTATTCTTTCAAGAGGTCAATCAATTGGTTCCTAATATCCTTTACCATCTTCATGCCGATTGATATTTCCTTTCTATCCTCTTCTTGCCCTAGATTAATTTTCTCAACTTCCTCTTGATAGGATTGGATTATACGATTTTCTTGGTCCATCAACCTTCGCATTTCGGGGGATAAATTCTTCTCATGCTCGAGCGATACATCACACAAGTTTAGATTTTGCTCAACTTCGTTTCCCCCAGCCATGTTCACTAGGTTCTGTATTTAGGTTTATAATTTTAATGCATGGATGACGAAAATAAGAAAACAAAGAGAGAAAATAGGATAGACACAATTTCTAAATGACATATTTTATTATAAAAGAAACGAATTCATTACACGCCCATTATTGTGGAAACCCACAACCTTGGGCAGAGTTGTTGGTTAAAAGATAGTGAAATAATAAAACTCATGATGACAAAAAACATGAATCCCTAATGGACATCCCTATTTAGGCGGCCTTTTAACAGCACCATTTCACGACCTTTAATCTTCATGCTTGGGGAGCGGCTACTTTTCGATACTGGGTGTGTCCGTGTCAAACTTTAACCACCCGACGTCTATTAGACCTTGGAGTCGAAGCTTCAAGGCCTTACATCGCTCCATAAAATGTCCTGGGGAGCCAGAGTGATAATCACAACGCTCCTTAGGGTTGTACCATGAAGGGAAAGGGGGGCTAAATTGCTTCGACGATGGGACTCGTACCAGCATGGAAGCCTCTAAGAGTTGAGGTAACAATGCCGCATAAGTGGTGGGAATTTTATCCACCATCTTCTCTTTCCACGACTCGGTCTGTGTCGCGCCTCGACTCTTTGGAGGGGTGGTGGCTATGGTGACTGCATTGATCCCATCCTCCTTCTTCTTTCCGTAGGACTTCTTATAGTCATAGCTCCCTGGAGCCTTTCCTATTTTACCACTCTTCAAACCCTGCTCCACCCTTTCACCTATGGTGACTATGTCGGCAAAAAGGGTCGAAGTATTCCCTATAATCTTATCATAATAAGGGCCATTTAAAGAGTTGATGAACAAGGTCACCATCTCCTTGTCGGAAAGCTAGGGCTCTACTTGTGCATCCAGCTTCCTCCACCTTTGTGCATAAGCTTTGAAAGGTTCATCCCCCTTCTTGCTTAGCGCTTGCAAATCAGATCTGTCGGGGACAAGATCAATATTGTACTTGTATCGCTGCAAGAAAGCGTCAGCGAGCTGCTTCCATGTCTGGATCCTTCCTCCCTCCAGGTGCATGTACCAGTTGAGGGCCGCATCTAATAAGCTTTCCTAAAAGTAGTGTATCAGGAGCTTCTCGTTGTCCACATGGGCGGCCATCTTTCGGCAGTACATCGTCAGATGCATTTTGGGGTAACTGGGTCCCGTATACTTTTGGAAGTCAGGTCTTTTGAACTTGGGCGAGAATTGGATATCCTGCACCAAGCACATTTTAGCGGCCTCCTGAATGTCAAAGCTATGACCTTCCACCGCTCTTAACTTTTCTTCCAAAGCATTTAGGTGATCCTTGGATGCGTCTCCTACGTGACTAGCACTATTGTCATCATGCTGGAGCCTTCTCATGGTTTCGCACATTCGATCCATTTTCTCCTTGAGCTGTCTAAGCTCTTCATTTAGCTCGTGGTTCCTTTCCATTAATGCCTCCATAACCTTTCTCTTTTGGGTCCTCGTGAGTACGAAGTGTAGAGAAGCCACCTTCGAGGGATAACAATGGATTTCTATTACGCTTGTTTATAGATCTATTGAAGGAGATTCCTGACAGGATGACGCTTGCCCTTATGAAGGTAGGTGTCCCTTTTCATAATATTTCATGATATGACAAAGGTTACACTGATCCTTAGAAGGTCGATCATCGTCGGTGCCCCTTTTCATAATATTTTACGATATGACAAAGGTTGCACTGATTTTTCTCAGGTATTCCTACCAGTAAACAAAAGAAAGGGATTATGACAAAAGGCAGGTGAACTTTTTATATAAACAACTATGCAACAATCATATGCTCAAACAATTGTACATCCACGAGCGGTATAAATCCATGGTCTGTGGTCCTTGTTGAAGAAAGTGCTTTGTATAGGACAGTTCTAAACTCACCAGTCTTAAAGGCCCCCAAGGTGCCCTCATTATAGGGACCCAGTATCTCTGTTGCCGTCACCTAGCAAACTCTAAGGTCTGTCACAGTATTTTAGGCTAGAGTAACCGGTTATCACCTTGAGTGCGATTAGAGCTATCAAAACGGGCCAGCCCCGCCCATGACCCATTTTAAAAATGGGCCAACCCAAGCCAACTCACTTTTGATTTTTTCAAAAAAAATTTGGCCCAGCCCGGCCCACCACGGGTTGGTGGGTTATACGGGCCAGCCCACCAGCGCACCAAAAATTAAAAAAAAATTATCAATAAAATTTAAAATTTAAAATTAATTATAAATTCACATAATAGTCATAAAATTAGCATTACTAATAGCCATTAGTCATAACTCTTCTTACAAAATTAAATACAAATCATGATAAAAGTTCAAAATAAAAATTTTCAATATCCCATCATAGAAAATCAACTACAAATCATACTTAAATTTCCATTGCAAAAAAAAAATTGGTGGGCTGGTGGGCTGCCCGACCCACTACGAGTTCAGCCCAGGTGGGTCGGGTTGGCCCACGGGCCACAACCCATTTTGACAACTCTAAGTGTGATTTCTGACAAGGCTCGCAGGCTCCAAGGCCAAACTTGGGCCGGTCATACGTCAACAACTCCCTATGTTTAATACCCTCATGCCCCCGGGTGTAGGGGAACTATTGTGTGCAATGGTTTGTGTACAATTGTTATACAAACAAGTGCAGAATTCAAACAAACAAACAAATATCAAAGCCAAGCAAATAAAACAAACAAAGTAAAGGGGAGAAATATTTAAATTATTAATTCTTATCACATTAACTTCATCATTTATATGGGGCTTGACCCTCTTTAAATGTCCCCAATGGAGTCGCCATCTGTCGCAACCCAAAAATTTCTGATCTTGCGACCTATGGTTTAGACATCCTTTTGAAAATCTCATCAATTAAGGAATGCCCCGACACCAGACTAATCCTTAATTAATGATTTTGAAAAATGAGTTCATGGAGTCACTACCAATGTTTTACTGAAAACATTGGAAAAAGAAAAGATTTTTCAAAAGTCCAATAATGGCCTTGATAACCAGAATTGAGTTTGGGGGTCGGTTACGTGTAGGAAAGGTATTAAGCACCCCTACAACGCCCTTAAGCGGTACCCTATGATGAAATTAATGTGATAAGAAATAAATTTACATGCTTGAAATTTAAATTACACAATTAATTCTAAAATGTCTACATGATTGCTTTTATTATAACAATGTCTATCAAAGATAAGAAATAAAAGAGAGGGAAGAAGATTGACTGAAATACCTCTTGAATGAGCTCTATTGAATCTTCAAATATGGAGACTTTTTAGGTGATTTTTTGCTACCTTTCTCACTACAATATGCCTCACAAAACTCAAGAAATACAATAGGATGGAGAGAGAGAGAAATTTTGAGCTCTAAGGAGTCTTGGACGAAATGTTGTGGCCTTGAAAACTATGCC